TTAAAAGATGTTCCTATCTCGTGAACAAACTATATGCTTTTTGAAGAACTCTGTTAGGCAGAAGGCTTAGATGTTTTTGAGGCTCTGGTTAATAACACAGTTGTTGAAGTGCTTTATAACTGGAATTGAGCTTTATAGTGTCAGGTTGACATAAACCTAAACTGAAGATGAGTCTGGTGAGGATATCTAAGTGAATATTGTGCTTCTGCCACATTCTATCCGTCTTCTCTATTTTTTTTTAAATATAATTACTGTATTGCTACTATTCTTAAAGAAAAACTAAGCTTAGTTAACAGAGAGGCGTCCAATGTTGATGCTGTCTGCTGAAAATTATATTTGTCTCGCTGACATCATAACCCAGTGTCTTTATTACTGTTTGAGTCACTAACACAGAATAAGCATGCATTTTTTGATTTCTGACTTCCCTTTAATTCTTCTGATCTGAATGTTTTTCTTTAAGTCAGTGCTATTGAACAAAAAAAGATTTTTACTTGCACATTATTTGTTATCTCTGTACAACCTGAAATCTTCTATCTTTAGTATGTGGAGCAGCAAATGTTATTCTCTCCTAGGTTAGGAATAAGAAAGTGGGAGCAAGTACCTTATGGAGAAAGTACTTTCTACAAAAAAAAGTTTCTGAATGTTTTTTTTAAAGTGAGGGCCCAGAATATGTCATCTGCAATAGGAGAGTGAAGGTCTGCTTTAAGCACATGAACCCCAGTATTTCACAGAGACAGCCATGCAACTAGCAATTTCAGGAGTTCAGTAGCACCCACACTTTTTATTATTATTATTATACAGGATTTATATAGCACCAACTGTTTGCTCAGCACTTTGCAATATAACGGGAGACAATACAGCAACAATACAGTTCAATACAAGAGGGATAGGAGGGCCCTGCTCCTTGGAGCTTACAATCTAGGAGATACTTTTTATAATTGTTTCCTTTAACTGCATAAGAAATCTTGATTTAACTAGTATAGGTTTAGCAAATAAGGCAATGCACATACTGACAAACCAAGCTGTCAGAACCTTTTATCGAGTGTAAATTGAAACATGATTGGTGGCTCACAAATGATATAATCTTTGTATTTTGAATGTAATGAACCAAAGCAGCTTGCCATTCAGTTAAAATGTGTTCACATTATCACTGTGGCTGCACGGGTGAGATTAATCATTAAAATATTTATGGTCATGTGAAAAGCAATATCCACCCTTCTGAAACAAAAATACCATTGTACTATGTCTGTACAGCAGATTGCTACATTCCAAAGCTTACCAGCAATTAGCACCTGATCTCAGATTTTTCTGGGAGAGATAGATCAACTTTGCTACATAGAAAGACATTGCAAAACACTGAGCAGTAAGACTTATTATGAGATTCACTATAAAATTGCAGCTTGTTCATAAATCACTCCCCACTGCCAAAAGAAGTTTTGGTGTGACTTTTCTGATTCACATGGGCTTATAATGCATATCATGCACACTGGCATATAATTCTATGAAGAATCTTGCTGGCAGCAAGTTTCTATGTACTTGCTTCCATTTAGACCAGCCTACCGCCAATTTATCATGTTTAGGTCTGGAAATATGGAAAAGGACAAGGCAATTTCCTTTTTTTTTTCAGACCTGGACAAATTCAGGGGTTTAGATCTTGCTGCCCATAGACATAGATTAAGCTTCCAATCAGCATTATCTGAAAAACTGACAGGTGGACCTTATCGGACCACATGTGTGAAAGGGGTCTAGGACTTAATCTGCTACTAGAGCTGATAATCTTATGTATCTGCAATTGTTGTCCATTATGCAGTCCTGAATTCTGAATATGAGTCTTGAATTCTGATGTATTCACACAATCAAATATCATAACATCCTTATATGCATAACCTTTTATAGCCTGAGTCAATTTGAGAGGATACTCTTAAGTGGACCTCAAGTTTGAAAGCCAAGAATGCTTAGGCCCAGGTATGGCCTCATAACAAAGTAAAAAAAAATGCAGAAAATGTATGCAAAAAGTCTTACATTGTAAATATAATTATAAACAAATTGGATAGCCAACACAGTTTGCCTTGGCAAGGCACAGGTTGTCTTGGCTGTCCAGATGCAACTTGGAAGCTTGATGCAAACCATCCCCCTAATCTGACTATTCCTTAGTTGGTAAGGAGACCCACCTATCATTAGCAGTGCATATGCTTTTTTTTCATCTACCATATAATGTACATGACTGACACCTTTCAGTTGCTCTGCCTACCCCTATCTTATTTGGTCCTTGTATGTCATAACTTTCTGAAGTATACAATGACTCACTTCCACCTGACCAGCACTATGACTGTGCTATCAAATTTGTTACCTACCTCTTTTTCAGGCCACTTTTAGCAAAGCCAGTTTATCAGCATGTGGTGATTTATTCCGGAAGAGGAAAGATTGCCCATTAGCCTCTGTATTGACTACTGTGGCTTATATAAGGTGACAATAAAAATCCAGTATCTGGTATCACTTATTTTCAGAATTGTTTGACCAATTTTAAAGGGGTTTAAATTAAGCTATAGCTTTGTAAACCTAAAAATTGATCTGTTATAAAGTTTGGGATGACTGAAAGACAAGGTCAGTGCTCAGGATAGGCACTGCCAATATTAAAATGACACTAAACGATATCTTATTCTACACAAATAATGTACAGTACTACAACACATTCACTAGGTAATAGCCCTGCAATCCATTTTTCATTAAAATGGTTTCTTACTGTTTTCCTGCCTCCTTGTAACATCCTCCATGAACTCCCAAACTCCCCCCACACACACACTTTTTTTTGTTTGGAACAAACAGTGATATTACAGTCATGAGCACCACAAATCCCATACTCCCTAGTTCATCTCAGCAGCAAGTGAAAGTGGCTAAGTTCCTACATACATAGGGACCATAGATAATGAACATAGCCACCCTCTAACAGAAAGTGAGATCCTGGTAGCAAAAAAAAAAAAAGGAATTTGGATTTGGTTTTTGAGTTAAAAAAACCTACTTTAATAGAATTTTTTTTAAAAAAAGCAGAGTTCGGTGTCACTTTAGGTCATAACGTGTAATGAACCTGTCATTATTAATCTTATAAACAATGTCTTCCAGGATCTCCTTATCATGTGTTATCATATCATCAGTGATGTTCTGAACCTCTCATCCAACTCAGAATCCCATCAGCTCCATGGCAAGATCATACTTTAGTAGAATGCACTATATACAAATGGAAGACTTGTCTTTTAGAGAATAATGTACAGTTTATGTATTTACCCAAAACTTTGAATGGACCTTGCAAGGTCCCTAAGATTTGGAAAATCTTATTTTCTATATTATTATCAACACTTTTTAAAGGACTATACCACACTGGTTGTTTCTGTTTCTTTCCCCACTATCATAACGTTTCAGCAGCTTCCAAGGGTTATTAACCTGATACAATGCCTTCTTTATTGCTTTGGAGTAAGAGAAATCCCAATCAAGAGCAATATAACAGAAAAGTCATTCCTGCTGATTGTTTTTGCAAAAAATTCACTTCTGGAAAAAAAAATTATTTATGAAATCAGTGATTGCTTATTACCTTCTGTCAAGCTTGCCCTTGAGGGGTGATTATTTATAAAGACCACAAAAAGTCTCATGTATGTCCAAACGATCCAAAGGTCAAATCCATGCCAAACCTTCAGGATTCTGTTCTGTCTGTTCTTTGCCTGCTTTTATTTATTCTTTATCTATCATCCAGTGGAGAATATCAAGACATTAGCTTTTTCTTTACACCCATAGATGAGAACTCTGACTAACTCACATCAACAATACAGTCCTTATTTCATTTTAATGACAGTGTAATTACTAATTACACATCTTCAACTAAATTGAGCACCCCCAAAAGGAGCATTTTGCTCTTATTATACTATCTTTCCAAAATTATTCCTTTGTAAGTTTGTAGGATATTGTGGATAAGCAAATGATTCAAATTAATTTTCACAATTTTTGGTGGTCTACTATTAAAGAGGACATCAAGGATTTTGTGGCAGTCTGTATTGTATTTACATTGGACTCACATATCCATGAATTTAATGACATGCCTTCACCTTGGAAATCATAGACAGTTAACTGGGCTGTCTCTGATCTTTGTTGACTTATTTTCTAATGAACTTCATTTAAAAAAAATACCAATAGCTTTCTCTCTACACAAATATTTTTACAGTAAATGTTTTTACAGTAAATATTTGTATGCATAGTCTGCAATCTCATATTATCTTTGTAGCACCCTCCAAGTTACACTAGGTGGAGCTAGATCCCTAATGGTTAGACAGGAGCTGACTAGCAGCTCAGGTGAAATAGACAGTGGGGTCAAATTCGGGTCAGGGCTGAGAGACTCTGCTGGCCAGCCCCTCTGGAATTTCTCCCTCCTTTAAGCTTTTTGGAGGAGGGCCTTTGAGGCAGTGGGTGGATCTGAGGAGTGGTTGGCTGCACCTTTGAGGTACCTCAGCCAATCCCCAACAGGAAGCTTGGCAAGGGACTGGACTCCCTTAAGAGGTGTTAGAATCTGCTCAGTTGGTGAAGTTGGAGAGTGGTGGAGGGGAGAGGAGTTTGAGTCAGGAAGATGTGAGGATTGAAGAAGAAGGCTGCCAGGAGGCCTGCTGGGATGGGGCCTGCCTAAAAGCCTGGCGCTAGATAGGAGGAAGCCTCAGGACTCACTTGTCCCCTGAGAGAGGACCACCTGTGTGGCAAGGAAGAAGCAGCCCAGCTGATAAGCCTGGTAGCAGCAGCCATTCCACAAGCTGTACAGAAGAGGATCTGAGTGAGTACACCTGAAACCCTGGAGGGATAGGGGAAGGAGCACTCGCTTTCTCGCTGCCCTATATTAGAACTACTGCTACAGCACGGCAGGGCTGTGCAAAATCACATATATGTTCATGATTTGCACTCCTGGATATGGGACGCACACACGTGCGCTGCCTACCCGCGCTGCCATTGGCGGCTAGGAATGTCGATCACCGGATCCCGGCCAGAGATTCTTACCAGAGCCCAGTAATTGTTGGGCAAAGCTGACAGGGGAGAGACCTGTATGTAAACAACACAGGTCTCTCTCCTGCCACCAAGGACATGCAGCTTTGTATTTCTTTCAGAGAAATACACAGCAGCATGTCTCCCTAGTAAAGCACACACAGCACATCATGTGAAACAGCACACAGCACACGGTTAACCCCTTTGATCACCCCAGATGTTAACCTCTTCCTGCCTAGTGTCATTAGTACAGTGTCAGTGCTTTTTATTAGCACTGATCACTGTATTAGTGTTATTAGGATATCAGTGGCAGTTAGTAAGTTCCCACACAGTGTCAGAATGCTCGCTGCACTCCCGCTATTGCTGATCACCGGCATTACTAGTATAGAAAATAAATAATTACAAATTCCAGTATATATACCACCATTTGTAGACGCTATAACTTTCACGTAAATCAATTAATTTACATGTATTGGGATTTTTTTTTTAGCAAAGACATGTAGCAGAATAAATTTTGGACTACATTTATGAAGAAATTAGATTTTTTTACTGGATATGTTTTATAGAAAAAAGTAAAAAATAATGTTTTGGTTTTTTTCAAAATTGTCAATCTTTTTTTGTTTATAGCGCAAAAAATTAAAAAACACACAGGTGATCAAATACCACTAAAAGAGTGCTGCATGACCGTGCAATGTTCAGTTAAAGTAACACAGTGCCGTATCACAAAAAATGGCCTGGTCAGGAAGGGGGGTAAATCCTCTGGAGGGCAAGTGGTTAAGGGAACAGGAGCTAGATCCCCTGCTCAGGAAGAAAACCTTCAGATTGTTGGGTGAAGAGTTCATTTAGGGTCTGGGGTAGTACAACTGGAGCTGTTGGCTAGCACTCCAACAGAGACTGTGGGTCAGAGAGAAAAAGCTGTTAATAGTTCAGGAAGTTTGTTCTCAGGTTTCAGTTCCCTTGGGCATCCTATACACCCCTATACCCTATCCAAGTTTAATCCCCTGAATAAAATAATAGAACCAATGTTCAAGGCCTGATTTCTGTCTGTGGATGAAAGCAGTGTGGAAAATGCTAACTGACTGGCTGTGCAGGACTATAGTCATTATAGTCACTACATCTTTAATAGGGGCTTACAGTTTACTTCTTGTTTTTGGAGATCCAGAAACCAACTATTAACTAGATATTAGATTGGAATAAATACTGTCCTCTTTCCTTAGAACTGTATACATCAAGCAAGTTTAAGAACTATTTCTACAAAACAATTTTTCACCCTGACAAAATATTGTGTCAGCTGGCAAAATTATCATATACAAATCATGTTACTAAACCTAAAGATCATCATAATTTTTTGTTTATAAACTTCCTGCCCACCTAATCTTCTACTCATCCACATCCCTTTGGAAGTAACACCTGCCAATAAATTCCCTGATAATTTATAGTTTGGGAAGACACTTGGCAGACACTTCTGAGGTTTTCTACTCATTAGAACAAGTATTGGAAAATCTGGCAGACACTTCTAAGGTTCTTTTCTTGCTTTAAGAGATCAGCTTATAAAAACTGATGCCTGCTTCACAGTTTGATCTAAGTGATAAAGTGTGGCTATCTATGCAAAGCATTGATCCCAGAATGTATTTTTCAGGTTTAGCCCTTCCTCTGTATTGCTTAAAGTGTATGCAAGTGTTGTTGTTTTTTTGTTTTGGATATACTAGGAATGGATTATAAACTTTGTCACATTTTCGAGGGTGACCATTGTCTCTGCTACAAAAAGTGAGGGTAAATCCAACATTTTAACGCTGTCACAGAACAGGAGAAAAGTGAAAATCTTCCAATGGGGACACTTGTTCTGGTGACAACTGTCTAAAAATTTGATTTCTCTTCACTTTGTAGTAATTTCTTCTCATTTCCTGTTCTGTCTCTGAGACAAGAAATGAAAGGAAATCTCCCTGACAGGACAGAGACAGCAAAAAAAAATCCTGTTGGGTCCTAACCATTCCATTTATCCAAAAGCTAAGACAAGGTTACATGTAGACACTTCTATTTAGTTATGTATAAATATGTTGGATCAATTTCTGCCCTAATTATATTGAATATATTTATTTCCTAATAACTGTATTTTAACGGCCTTTCCAAATGATGTATTATCAAACATTAGGACTTTTGGAATTAATAGTTTTGATGTTTATGGATAATTTACACTGCTATTGTGTATGACAATTTTTAAAAATATATTATTCTGAAATTTTAATTGTTTATACCTCTTTGGTATGATAGGTTATCGTAAGTATATTGGAATGTTGGTGTGGAGACACTGATTTAAGATTGTACTTGGCATTAAAGAGTATATTTCTGTTTATCAGTGTAAAAAATACCAAGTTAAATTTACTGTTCTATGGCAATAAAAGAAAAAACTTTCAAGAGGATGTATATGTCAGAATTAGAATGAACTATATGGGTGATTTTCACTTTGCAAACTTGTCTAGACTGCGTACATCCGTTAAACTGTACTGAACTTCTGGGTTGTTGCTGTGCAACTAATCCCTATGGTCCACTATGCTCAAAAAAAGGAAGAATTTGCAATTGGTCCATAGTCAATGAGTGCAAAAAGATTACATGATACAGTTATATTGCAGCATTTTACAACTGTATGAGTTAAACTGTGAAACTGAATATTTTGGAACTCGTGTGAGGTTACAAAAGTCCATTTGATGTGAAAAATGTGATCAGTCATGTAAGACTAAAATTGCCTGTGGAGCTTAACTGTTCATATTAAGAACCTTTCCTCTCTTTCTTGGTATTCTTAAGCTACCTATACACATAAAACTATTGTATAATGTTAAAGCAGCACAATGTTACAATATGTTTACATGTGAAAAGAAATGAATCGCAATAGAGCACCTGCAGGCATCTAAACGTGAGATAAAAAGTTGGAATGTTTTCCTGATTTTTTATTGCTTTCTAAAGAGTAAGGAGATAAGGCAACCATGCTCATCAATGCCCAAAGACAGTTTTCTCAACAGATATGAACAATGCATGTAATTATCCTATTAAAAGGAATTTTATGAAAGCTAAGAACCATATACTGTAGGTGTGTTCTACTTTACGTGTAGTTTTACTTTATCCCCTCTTGACAATACAAACGTGATATTCCTTCAGTGGACTCCCCCGCCCTCAGTGCAGGCTAATACAAGCAAGCATGATGACAGAATGATCATAAACTACAATGTATGTCCTTTTTTGATGATTTCAACCCATTCCATTTGACTGCTCAGTTTCAAAGAATTAGTTACTGTAGACTGATGATCGAAAAGCCACATGCACTCTGAGTGCTTCTGTTTATATGTAACATTAGTAAGGCTAATTGTCACAGATCCAACCCACTGGCACACACCCACAGCGACTAGCTAATCGAGGCATGCATGTCCGGCCGTGACTTGGGTTAAAGAGGGAATAAGGGGGACTTACTTTGAGCATATATATAAGACCGGCCGTGATACATTTTCACAGCCCGCACTACCTCTGGCCACCACTAGAGGGAGACTCCACTCCAATCCAGCTGGCTGACCGCACACAGGCAGGTACAAATCTTATATACAATCTGGTGCACTCTAAGGGTTGAGGAGCAGCCTAGCAATTGGCACACCCTTCTAGGATTCCTCCAGCTATCCTACAAGCTAGAACCCCAGTGTTATTCACTCCACTGTCCACACACCCCCACACCAGACACACCACAAACGGTAGCTTGCCACCATCCAACAGTTTGTCAGCAGACTGGTCTGCTGGGCCACCACACACACACAGATCTCCATCTGGCAGATCTGCTACTTTACAATCTGCATGCAATCTGCCAACACGCAGTGCAATTGCATACAGATAGGCAATGAACTTGACCGAGCATATAAAGACACTGCAATACAATACAATCTCTCCAGAAATATGAGCCCGAGCTTAAGTACCCAGAAGTCACTTATTAATTTTATGATTTAATATCCCGAAAGTGGGCAGTGCATAAAATACGTACAAAGAAAAAACAATTACAGAAAATACAAAAAGACACACAATTGGCTATTGACTATAAAATAAAGGGAATAAAAACAGAAATAAAACCTTTACCAAGAGTTATCCTGCGACTGGAGCAAGTCAGAGAAAGTCCGCGATTCGCCAGTCAAATAGAACCGACTCCATACGAATCACACTGTCCATATCTCAGGTTCCTCAATTAATTGAAATATGGATGTAGGCTGGAATTTAGCCCTTGGCCAATCAACCCTGGGGGGTGTTCCTGTACCAGCCAACAGGACGTTCTGGGTGCTGAAGTGCCCATAGTCAATTGGACAAGGAATGTTTTGAATCACCAAGTCAGGGATAGAATTTCTGACACCAGCGCATCAGTCCGATCGCGACAGTACCAATCAATGTTCAGGTATCGCAATCAGGCACCATATGACCGTTTTTTGCGTTTCTCTGGGATTCTACAGAGGCTACAAATACAGTTTTACATGCAGATGTAGCCTACAGTGTGTCCAATCAGAAGGAAGTATTTTAATCTCTCTGCAACTAATATTTTAGCTTTCATGAGAGATGAAATATATTCCTTTGATCTGTGGATATACCTCAGCGCTTGGCAGACAGATCAGAGCCCTCTCCTAGTCTCCTGCTGCTTCTCAAAACCAAAATGGCTGGAGCTCCTCTTTTAAACTTGGAGAAGGTGGCAAAGTCTGACTACATAGGTGACAACTTTTTATTGGCATCCAAGTATCACCTCCAGTCTAGAAGCTGCTCTGTCCTTTCAGATGCTAATTGGTGAACATATGTTTCTGACTGAATTCTGAACACTTAACTTATCTTTAATAACATGGAACTAAGCTAGATATACAGAGACATATTTCTACTGATCACATCTCAGCTATCCGAATCCTACATTTATGTTACACTAATATAATGCAGTGGGCAGATCTAAGGCTTTTGACATTAATATTACATGAATACATCAGTATTTCTGCTTATATATCTTTACAGTTTCACACAGGACTGGATTTCCATCACTCTAGCCTGTAGACTCACAACTGTTGGTGCCAAAAGCAATACTCTTTTGTAGAATCTTGTTATGTATGTATAGAATTTACTGTACTTGTTTTGTGAACTTAGTTTGGCTTGGTATATTGGGGCAACATGTGAATAAGTTTATCAAACCGCGTGTCTTCATATCATGAAAAAATGTGTGACTAATTGACTAAAACAAAAAAACTTTAGGTAGTATAGATCTCTACATAAAGGTTAGGAAATGTAATTGTATGTATTGCACTTACCAGATTCATGCATCCACAGATACTGTTGGTGAGCTTCTGCTATTAGCACACTACT